TAAAAGCAAATTTATAAAGTTATATCGAATTTTAATTTTTCGAATGCACTTATTATTCTTTAAATAAAAATATTTTAAAATTTTATTATTTATATAACGACATTCGTATCGTGCTGCCATCTGTTGCCAGATAGTAAACTTATCACGATTAAAATTAAATTTAAAAATTTGCAATATATATATATTTATTTATTTTAATCAAATTATGATAATGATTAATAATGAAATTATTTGTGAAGATGACTAAAAGTTTATATAATTCAAATTTTTGCAATTTTTTTTCTATATTTACTTAGTTCAATTTTTAACGAATAGGGATTAATTAATAATTAATAATTAAATATAGCATAATTATCAGTAATTACAACTGAATTTACACTCGAGTGTTTGTTTACATGTTACAAAACAATTAGATTTGTCGTAAAGAATGCATTTTGTTACGTTAAAATGACGTAGAATTAATACCTTTGACGTAAAGTCATTACGTCATTTATACTTCAATTTTCACGTAAGACGTCATTAGATATTTTAAAATATTCCATTTTTTTTTAGTATAAAAAGTATTTTTTAAATGCAAAAACACTAAAATTTTATTTTTTTAAATCGCATTTTTAAATTTTAAATGCACTTTTTAACATAAAAAAACATTCAAAATTTCATTATTAAATTACAAATACTTTATAGGAAAGTATTGCACGTGCACACGTGTACTTATTTGAATATGTTTTTAGAAAAACATATTCAAATAAGTACACGTGTTTTTAGAAAAACGTAAAGGGATATTTCCCTTTTATGATTTTTAAAGGGAAAATATATCAAAGTTTCATTTCAGAAAAGAATGAAATGTTTAAATGAATGTTTACAGAAAGAATTTGGCGTATTTTTTAGTATATGAGAATAGAGCAGAAGAATATTTTGTATAATATACAAATGCTTGGCATTTTTCTAAACAATAAATATTTTAAACGTATACATTTTTTAGAAAAATACAAAATATTTTTCTATTTTATTATTTATACGTGTATTATTCTACAAATATTAACATTGTTTTTTTTTTTCTGAAATTGTTTCCATTGTTATCTTTTCGGCTCTGTTATATCTTTATAACAGAGGGAAAGTATCAAAAATGAACCCCCCCTCCAAGGGTTTTACATTTTTTGGACTCAGGGGATATTGAAACATCGATAAATTCAAAGAAAATTCAAGGGGTTTTCTCTGTATGTATGAATTTTAGTGTGTGTGGGGGGACACGATTTTGTTCACCCAGTTTCAAACTTAATAACTCCTGTGCTTTTTGTCGAAAATTTCTGAAAGTTTGCAGAGAGTTTTATGTATTAGGGGCATTGATTCTATTAAATTTTGGTGGTCAAAAGTCGAGGAGGTGGAGAGATAAAGAGGGTCGTGTGTTATATCTCGAGTATGGTCGGACTTAATTAATTAATGACGATTTTACTCGTTATTATCATTTAAAATTTTTTATAAAATCCATCCCTACATTCAAAATTAATCCATTTGCCATTTTATAATAATTTTAAAATATAAAAAGATTTTTTTAAAATAAAATGTCATAATAGATGGCGCCACACAAGTAGTTTTAAATGTTGCCGGATAAGTTGAGTAACTCGCTGCTAGATTTTTTTTTTTTTTAATTAAATTGGACTAAAAACATTCAAAATGTTTAATTTACTGCAATATTTCTCTTCCTATTTTAAAAATAATAAGTCAAATAGAAGTAAAAGAATGATTTTTAGGCAAGAAAAAACAAAAGTTTGAATAATTTTCTTCGTTAATTTTTAAGGTTAGAAATAATTTTAAAACTTTGGAAAGTATTAATATATCGTTACAGGTATTTCAAATTCTATATAAATTTTAGAGATTAAAATCAATATTTATTTAATTTATTTTAGATAGTATCTTAACTGCCGAAAATATTTTTGATAATATCGATATTTTCAATTCGGTACGTGCCGGCTGTAAGGAATTTATATTACCTATGGTTTTTTCTTAGATGTTCTGGTAATAATGGATATTTTGATCCATTTAGCTGCAAAAAGCCATATTTACTAAATTGCATTTCCCTGTGATCAATAAGAGGTCCATTCTGTCCTTGACTTTTACTTTTTCTTACCAATGCTTGTACGTTGTATCACGTCTGAAGTAATCGCTGTGAATACAATTTAAGTATTTTAACATATGTAATGTAAACTTTTATAAATCTACATCACGAATAAAATTTTAGTCAAGTTCTTTATTACGGTATCTGAATGTATATATATTCAAAGTGTAAATATGTAAATAATTACATATATTTTTAATTAAATACAAAATGTCAGTATGCAGATAATCTCTCTCTTTTTCTCTGTATATATATGTAATTTATTTACATAAAAATAACGTATTAATGTGGATTAAGACTATTGATATTAATACTGTATAATATAATATACATTATAATTTTTATAATGAATCAAAGAATAGAAATGAGATATTTAAAAATAATATCTATAGTTTATTCTAATGTATTTATAGTTGAATAAACTATATATATTTAAAAGAAAAATCGATATTTTTCGAAAGAAGAAATATGCATTTAAATTAATATGTATTTATATATATATTGTATATATATTGCATTATACAAGAGAGAATTTTCCAAAATCATAATTACTTCAGCTTTCAAGCTTATCTATTAAATATTATATTAATTGAAGCGTAATGCAACAAATTTATACTCTTTGATTAACTATTAATACATAAAATTGTTCATGCTTGTTATTCAAGGATAATGATTCCATTAGTAAATATAACGTTAATATTTTAATAAATAAGTAAATCCTTAATTTAATTTAAGTTTGCGCAAAGTCTTGTTATACAATACTTTCTATAAGATTAACGTATTGATAATTCGTTTTATTTTTCTTAATGATTATCATCTGCTGCCATCTAGTGGTTAAAATTCGAACTTTTATTTCTAGAATAGCTTAAAAATGAAATACTGTAATCATCTCTATTTATTATTATTATT